CACTTCTCTTCGGAAACTGGCTAGAGCAGCTCCCTAAAGACTCACAGGAGACCCTGAGAAAAGCTGTGGTTCCCCAGGCGACACAGGGGCCCCCAGCCCTCATCATCAGTAGTATCTGAACAGTCCTGGGTTCTGCTTTATGTCACCACGTCACACCCATCCTCCCCTCGGTGGCTTCCATCATCCTTAGAATAAACCCAGGATCCTGGCCATGGCTTACAAAGCTCTGCCTGGGGCTCCAGCCCGTTTCTCTCTTCTCTTGGCATCCTCTGACTCACTGCTTGGGCCAGGGTGGCCCGTCTTCTGCTCACTGACTATAACCCCCTGGTTGGAGCTGGACCAGGCACCCTGGAAGGGCCAGTCCTTTCGGGGTGACAGAGCTGGATAAATCACCCTTTTGGTTTTCAAAATTTATTTTGATTTATTTGAAAGGCAGAGTGACAGAAAAACACACCGTGAGAGCTTCTATCTGCTGGCTCACTCCCCACCAGGCTGCAGCAGCCAGGGCTGGGCTGGGCCAAAACCAGGACCTAGGAACTCCATCCAGGTTTCACACAGGGCTGGGACCCAAGCATTCGGGCCAGCATCGGCTGCTGCTTTCCCAGGAGCATTAGCAGGGAGCTGCATTGGGAGCAGAGCAGTGGGGACCTGAATCTGTGCTCTTGGGGGATGCCAAGTCCCAGGCTGTCTGCACCCCCTCCCCCTTTAGTAAATGATTCTTTTTTTTTTTTTTTTTTTAAAGATTTATTTTTATTATTTTTTCATTGGAAAGGCGGATATACAGAGAGGAGATACAGAGAGGAAGATCTTCCATCCGATGATTCACTCCCCAAGTGAGCCGCAACGGGTCGGTACTATGCCGATCCGAAGCCAGGAGCCTCTTCCGGGGTCTCCCACGCGGGTGCAGGGTCCCAAAGCTTTGGGCCGTCCTCAACTGCCTTCCCAGGCCACAGGCAGGGAGCTGGAAGGGAAGCGGGGCTGCGGGGATTAGAACCGGCGCCCATATGGGATCCCGGGCGTGCAAGGCGAGGACTTAACCACTTGCGCCACCGCGCCGGGCCCCAAATGATTCTTTTTTAAAAATATGTATTTATTTATTTATCAGAGATTTATTTATTTTATTACAAAGTCAGATATACAGAGAGGAGGAGAGACAGAGAGGAAGATCTGTCTGATGATTCATTCCCCAAGTGACCGTAACGGCCGGTGCTGCGCCAATCCGAAACCAGGAGCCAGGAACTTCCTCCAGGTCTCCCACATAGGTGCAGGGTCCCAAGGCTTTGGGCCATCCTCGACTGCTTTCCCAGGACACAGGCTGGATTAGAACCAGCACCCATATGGGATCCCAGCATGTTCAAGGTGAGGACTTTAAGCGCTCTGCTATCGGGCCAGGACCTTGACTGAGCCAGCACCTTGTTTCCTAGCCAGTAGGAGCCAGAGAGGGGAAGCTGTGTGTTGAAAGCCACACAGCCCAGGAGCAGCTTTTCCACTGCCCCTTCCTGAGTGCAGTACAGCGCATGGCAGGGTCGGAGGTCCACCCCGGCCAGCTCCCATGCTCCAGGTGCCCACTGCTTTCAGGCTGTTCTAGAAGGTCTAGAACGACTTCTGTCTACAAAGGCACAAAAGAAGGGCTTTTCTCTCAGGCAGACCCTCCCCACCACACACACACATACACACTTTTCCCAGCACAGGGAGGACAGCAGGGCCGCTGGTGTGATGGCCCAAGGCCCGACCGGAAGGTGGGCAAATGGGTTGAAGCCTGCTGGAGTCCCTCCCGCTGTGACCGCCACCAGCGCCCCTAGGGACGCGCGCTGGACGCTCCCACGCTGGGCTGAACAGGAGGTTCCCACGCAGCCTTGGCCTTGAGGGCTGGAGGGGCGGGGTCGGGGGCTGGCGCCGCGCGGGTCCCTTGTGGGCGGTCCTGCTGCCCTGGCCAGGCAGAGCCAGGTTGGGTTGCTACTGCCGCTAGCCGCCCGCGGAGGTGAGTGGGGTGGCTGCGTGGGATGGCTGGGACCCCTGCCCTTGCTGACCTGCACGCAGTCCCAATCGCGAAGGAGGAAGAGTAGGGGGCTTCCAACATCAGAGTTGAGCGTGCTTCTCTGCTGTTGCCCCTGTCTGGGAGGGGAGGGTATGGGGTTGGGGGGCGGAATTCTCCCCCAAATCCAGCACTCCGCTCCCCTTCATCTCCCCACTTGTGAGGTTCTCCCATCCCCAGAAGCGACGGGAACCCTTTCATTTCCCAGATATGGGGGCACTCCTCTCACTTGTCACAATCGAGGAGCCCCCCTCCTTTTCTCCATCGCGTGGAGGCCCCTGTCCCTGGTGTGACCCAGTTTGGTCCCCGTCCTCTGAAGCCCTCCCCCCTCCACAGAATGGCAGACCCTGAGACTGCTCTGGGGGTGAGGATGGACGCTGGGCCCAGCCGGCAGCCTCCCAGGCCTCCCCCCAGCCAGAGGGCCCTGCTGCACGTAGGCAGCCAATTAGGGAGGAAGGGGGAGCCCACCATCTGCCCAGATGGCCCTGGAGGGAAGGCAGCCTGGCAACCTACTCCCTCCCCACCTGGACTTCCTGCTCCCACTTCACTGCAGGGGGCCTGGTCCCCAGCCTAGCCCAGTTCAGACTGCTCAGACTTTGCCCTGGACGTGGGGCCTCCTCCTACTTTTTGGATGGTGAACTGAGGTTCCAGGAGGGGCTCCATGTACCCCCTGGGGACATCAGACTAAGCTAGAAGAGTTGGAGGCAGGAGGGTGACTTGAAACCCTGGGAATCCACTCCCCTGCCCCAGCTCAGATCCCCCCTCCCATCACACCAGTGAATGAGGGTCCCCCAGCCCTGGACTGAGCCGGAGGTGGAGGCAGGACTCATCCATGGGTCCCTGCTTCCTCACCAGATGCTCTCTCGAATTGCCTGGAGTTGGGGGCCATGGAGAACAGCAGGACCTACCCTACGAAGCGCTCACACTCCAGGAAATGCAGGTAAGATGAGGGCCCCCGTGCCCATCTTCCTAACCAGCCCCTGAGTGACAGGCTGCCATAGCCTGCAGCTTGCTGCTCTGGGTCCCACACGCGACTCCTTGGCAGAGCTGCACCAAGAAGCACAGCCCATGGAGTGAATCAGGCCCTCTCTCCCGCCCCAGGCTCCTTTGGGGATTAGCCCTGAAACCTCAGGTCCCTAAGACCTTGGGGATCCTGAGGCCAACGGGGAGCGAGGGCCTGCACAACTGCACCCTGCCAGTCCGGTGGCAGGAGGGCCTCCCTGGCTTCGGGGGACTGCAGAGGTGTTCTGTGCTGAGCCCTCACTGTGTGCCCCAGAGTCCACACAGACCTCATGACTACCATGTGACGTGGCCACTGTGCTTTCTCCATTTCTCAGATCAACCAACTGAGGCCCCAGGTCGAGCTACCAGAGGAGCCGGGGCTGCTTGCCCAAAGAGGTTTCCAACACTGAGGTGGTGCCAAGGCCTCCTGGGGCACCTCTGGTGCCTGTGGCTGTGGCAGGCTGCATGTGGTCCTCCTTGGTGTCTAGTTTCTGAGCGCCCTGGACAGTCACTGGACACCCAGGGACCTAGCCATCAAGGAAGCTTCCAGACATGCATGTGAGCAGCCGAGAAACTCCTCTTGGTCAGTGTGGATTTTTGAGCAACTGCTGTGGGCCAGACACTGCTCAAAGTCTTCTGAGTGTGTCTGCTTGCATTTTCATTTATTTTGTTTATTTGAAGGAAGTAGAGCCACCTGGCTGATAGTTGAAGCTCTCCATCAGCTGGCTGACTCCCCAGACACCTGCAAGAGCCGTGGATGGACTCCATCGGGGCTGCCACGTGGGTGGTGCAGACCCAAGTGCTTGAGTCATCACCTGCTGGGCTCCCAGGATGCAATCAGCAGGAAGATGCAGTTGGGAGTGGAGCTAGGGGGCTGGTGTCGTTGCTCAGCAGGTAACGTCCTTGCCTGTAAGACCCACATTCCGAAGAGACTGAAGTCCCGGCTGGCCCACTGCGAATCCAGTTCCCTGCTGATGGCCTGGACAGAGTAGCAGAAGATGGCCCAAGTGCTTGGGGCCGCTGCCACCCATGCAGGAGACCTGGGTGAAGCTCCTGGCTTCAGCCTGGCTCAGCAGCCATGGCCCATGCAGCCGCCTGGGGAGTGAACCAGCAGATGGCAGACCTCTGTCTCTCTCCCTGTAATTCTTGAGTTTCAAATACATAAATAATATTTTTAAAGGGGGAATTATTCAGCCAGAAAACTTTTTTACAAAAGATTTACTAATTTTTATTGGAAAGGCAGAAGGTATATATATATATCTTCCATCCATTGGTTCACTCCCCAGGTGGCTGCAATGGCCAGAGCTGAGCCAATCTGAAGCCAGGAGCCAGGAGCTTCTAGGTCTCCCACTCGTGGGTGCAGGGTCCTAAAGCTTTGGGTCATTCTCTACTGCTTTCCTAGGCCACAGCAGGGAGCTGGATGGGAAGTGGAGCAGCTGGGATACTAACCGGTGCCCATATGCGATCCTGGCAAATGCAAGGTGAGGACTTTAGCCATTAGGCTATCATGTCGGGCCCAATGAATATATATTTTTAGAAGAGTGGAGCTGGGTCCAACCTTGCGTGAACCTGGATCTTATATGGGTGCTACTTCGTGTCCTGACTGCTCCACTTCCCATCCAGCTTCCTGCTGGTGGCCTGGGAAAACAGTGGCCCAAACAGGTGGCCCAAAGCCTTGGGACCCTGCACTCACGTTGGGGACCCAGAAGAAGCTTCTGGTTCCTGGCTTCAGATGGACTCAGTTCTAGCTGTAATGGCCACTTGGGGAAGGAACCAGTGGATGGAAAGATCTTTTCCTCTCTGTAAATGTGACTTTCCAATAAAAATAATAAATAAACAAAGAGTGGAGCTAGGCTCTGAACTCTGATATGGGGCGAGGTGCCCCATTAAGCATCCTGACCTCTATGTCAAACATATGACGCAAATGACAGCCTGGACTCAGCTCCTTTCCTCGTGCCCACAGCCCGCGGTGAGGGAAAGATGTCCCCCTACACCAACTGCTATGCCCAGCGCTCATACCCCATGCCCGACGAGCCCTTTTGCACCGAGCTCAGCGCCGAGCAACAAGCCCTGAAGGAGAAAGAGAAGGGCAGCTGGAGCCAGCTCAGTCACGCCGAGAAGGTGGCCTGTATGTCATGGTGGCAGGGTGGGCAGGGAGAGTGGGCTCAGGGCTGACTTTGAAAGGAAGGACTTGGAAAGGAGAGGGCCCCGAGACCCCCTTCCTCATGCGCACACATGCACACACACACACACATCTGGATGCACCCCTGGCAGGTGAAGTGAATTCATTCTTTTATCCACTCGAACTGTGCACAGCCTGGTGCTGCTGCTGCTGGGGACACACAGTACCCCACCCACCCCCTGACATCCACACTGACCTCAGGGTGTCCCCAGCCCAGGGTGGGGAACCTCTGTGACTGGAATCCGGGTGAAATGGCCAGGGGGAGGTGTGTTCCAGATGCTGGAATCCTGGTGGGCCTCTCAGAGGAGGGTGCGTTCCAGCCAACCTTGAAGAGGATGCACTCAGCCCCGTACTGGGAGTAGAGCAGGAGAGGGAGTCAGTGGAAGAAGTAGGTGCGTGGGTATGTGGGTGAGAGTGGGGGTCCTGAGTCACTCATTAAAATTTGAGAGTGTGGAGGGGTGCTCCCATTTGTGGGCTCACTCCCCAAAGGTCCTCAGCCAATAGTCAGGGCTGGGGTGGCTAAGTGAGAGCTGGGACTGCAACCTCACTTGAGCAGCAGATGCCCAGTCGCTTTGTCTGCAGTGGCCCACCTCCCGGATGCCCAGGAAGCTGGGATCAGGAAGTACAGGTGGGAAGTGGTCCTGGGCGCTATGACACAGGACGTGTGCGTGGGCAGCCTGACCCCTGGGCCAAACACCTGCTTCAGGTGACGCTTTGAAAACACAAGAGGCTAGCCTGGGAGTTAACATCCAGGTTAAGATGCTCAAGCCCATATCACAGTGTCTGGGTTCGAGGCCTGGCTCTTACTGCACCTCAAGCTGCTAGCTGCTTCCCAGGGTTTGTGACATCAAGAAGACAGGGCCAGGAGCCAGAGGCAGGCGTTGAGCACAGGCACTCCACACACCTGAATTGCTGGGTCAGATGTTGGTCCCAAAGGCCTCTCTCTCCAGAGCCACTCCGCACCACTCCCACCATGTCTCTGCACAGCTTTAGCCACTGACACCTTCCCCAGCCCTTGGATCCCAGCCCATCTTACTGGCCCAAGATTGTTAAGCCATCCTCTACTGCTTTCTCAGGCCATAAGCAAGCAGTTGGATGGAAGTGGAGCAGGTGGGACACGAACTGGCACCCACATGAATGCCTGTGCCACAGAGTAAAGCATTAACCTGCTGTGTCGCCTCGCCAGCCTTCACACAGCCTTTCAAATGAATAAACCGAAAGAAGGAAAGAAAGAAAGAAAAGAAAAGAAACGAAACAGGAGAAAGAAAAAACTCCTCTGGGTTCTCAGCATTTGCGGCAGGCAGGGGCAGAGGTGTGGGTCCGGGGTGCGGGTTCCAGGCACGGCCACGCCTGAGGTGCCCTCCCCGCTGCCCGCCCTCCCAGTGTACCGGCTGCAGTTCAATGAGACGTTCGCGGAGATGAACCGCCGCTCCAACGAGTGGAAGACGGTGATGGGCTGCGTCTTCTTCTTCTTGGGCTTCACGGGCCTGGTGATCTGGTGGCAGCGAGTGTACGGTGAGTGCTCCGCTGCCCCCGGCCCGGTATGCCCCAGGGAATGCGCACTGCCACTTATCTGAAGGTCTTTATGAGGCCCACGGGGAGGGGCAGAATGGAGGACAGAGTGTGAGCTGCTGGCTTGAGTGCAGGGAGACTACCTCTCTGAACCTGTTTTCTCTCTGTAATTTGGGAAGTACATCTTAGGGTTCTTGTGATACAGAGAGCTGTGGGCTCCCCAGCCTGAGGGATGGTACTGAGGGCTGGGTTGTGTCTGAATTGCCTCAGCTGCTGAGGTCTGCTGCCTGACAATCCATGGAAAGGCTTCCGTCTGGGCACGTGGGGCCACTGCCCCAGCTGCTGTCCTCACGCCTGCGTTTAGCCGAGCAGATGCGTGCCTCTCTAGGGTCCAGAAATACTCACAAACTATCAGCTAGGCGTAGCTGTATAGGGGCCAGTGCTGTGGTGTAGCGAGTTAAGGCACTGCCAACAACGCCGGCATTCCACCTGAGCACTGGCTTAGTTCTGGCTGCTGCACTTCCCATCCAGCTGCCTGCGAATGCACTTGGAAAAGCAGTGGAGAATGGCCCCAGTGCTGGGGTCCCTGCACCCACATCCTGGCTTTGGCCCTGCTCAGCTCTGGCTACTGTGGCCTATTTGGAGAATGAGTCAGCAGACAGAATAACTCTGTCTCTCACTCTTTCAAAAAAAAAAAAAAAAAGATTTATTTTTATTGGAGTGGCAGATTTACAAAGAGAAGGAGAGACAGAGAGAAAAATCTAACATCTGCTGATTCACTCCCCCACGTGGCCACAGTGGCCAGGGCTGTGTTGATCCAAAGCCAGGGGCCTAGAACCTCTTTTGGGGTCTCCCATGTGGGTGCAGGGTCCCAAGGCTTTGGGCCGTCCTCGACTGCTTTCCCAGGCCACAAGCAAGGAGCTGGATGGGAAAGTGGAACAGCCGGGGTACAAACTGGTGCCCATATGCGATCCTGGTGCTTGCATGTAGATTAGCCAGTTAAGCCACCATGTCGGGCCCCATATCTCTGCCTTTTAAATAAATAACACATCTTAATTTTTTTTTTTTCTAGCTCCCAGCAAAGCTAGAACATGTAGTCTGCACCTGGATAGTCACCCATCCAACTGAACTTTTCATTTCTTTTACTTGCAAGGCAGAGGGACACACAGGCAGGCAGACAGACTTGGGCCATCTGCTGGTTTATGCCCCAGATAACCACAGGGCTTGACCACGCCCAAGCCAGGAGCTTCGTCTTAATCGCCCGTGTGGGTGCAGGGACCCCAGTACTTGAGTCATCCTCCACTGCTTTTCCAAGTGCATTAGCAGGGAGCTGGATGGGAGGTGGATCATCCAGGACCCCCACCAGGCATCAGGCATGGAATGGGGCTGCTCCGAGCCAAAGACCTTCCCTCCCTCCCCTGCCAGCCGAGCTTAATGAACTCAGAGAGTGATTTTCACGGTGCCACTCTTGGATCAAAAGTCGCTCCTGCAGATTCTCTGTCCCTGCTCCGGGTGGCGGAGTCAGACCCCCTGGGAGGGCGCCCAGCAGCCGTTGGGTCCTGCAGGTGGCTTGACGCCAGCTCACCCCGGGGCGCACGGCGGCGGAGCTCTGCTGCCCTCTTCTGGCTTCTTCTGCAAGCGCAGTGGGAATTCCCGGTGACCAAGGAGAGGAAGCCCCAAGGGGGAAGCGCTGGGCATGCGACAGGAGCCCCTGAAGCCTGGTCCCCTCCTGCCCATCTCCTGCGAAGAAGAGTACCAGGGATGGAGGCGAGGCCGGGCAGGCGAGTCAGCCTTGGCAGGGAGCCAGGGAGTGAGTCCCAACAGGGCCTTCCCTGATGTTCACGGAAGTTCATTTTATTTTCACTTGAAAGGGAAAGAGATCGAGAGTCTACTGGTTCATGGTCCATTCTCCAAATGCCTGCCCTAGCCCGGGCTGGGCCAGGCTGAAGCCAGGGGCCAGTGGCTTCATCCAGGTCTGCCTCGTGGGCGTAGGGGCCCAAGCCGTTGGGCCACCCTCTGCTGCTTCTCCAGGTGCATTAGCAAGGAGCTGGATGGGAAGCAAGTAGAACAGCTAGGGCTAAAACTGGCACTCCAGTGTGGGATGCTGATGTCACAAGAGGTGGCTCTCCCCGCTGAACTAAGGTGGAGGATGCAGTGTTTTCAAGGGCCTACCTTGCAAAGCCCCTCACCCAGGCCCTTGTCACTGTCCTTGCTGCAGTGGGCACTTCATATCCGTTCACGCCTGCCCGTGGCTTTCTCTGCACTAACCCCATCAATCTGCCAGCCCCCTGGGGCCGGAACCTGCTTCAGACAGGGAGGAGATGGAGAGGCAATGCTTCTTGCTGGGGGTCCCACAAACAGGGAACTATCAGGGATGGGATTTGGGTCTAGGCTATCTTCAAATCTGTGCTTATGTTACCACTGGCCATGGAAGGACGTGAGCAAATGGAGGCACAGAATGGGGATGCACTTTGGCCCAGCTCCCAGGGGGCGTTCAAGGCTCTGTTGGCATCAAAACCCAGGTCAGAGGTCAGTGCTGTGGTATAATAGGTGAAGCTGTCCCTCATGACACCAGCGTCTGATAGTAGAGTCCCAGCGGCCCTGCTTCCCATCCAGCTCCCTGCTTGAGGCCTGGGAAAGCAGCCGAGGACAACCCAAAGCCTTGGGACCCTGCACCCATGTAAGAGACAAAACGAAGCTTCTGACTCCTGGCTTCGGACTGGCTCAGATGGGGAGTGAACCAACAGATGAAAGACTCTGTGTCTTTCCTTGTCACTGTACCTTTCAAAATCAATCATTCAATCTTTGAAAGAAAATGAAAAGAACCCAGAAGCCCCTGGGTGGCACCTCTGTAGAGTCTGGTGGGCCTAGGGCGGGGCATGGGATGCTGCTGGGCAGGGTGTGGGTGCTGCTGGGCGGGGCGTGGGTGCTGTTTGCAGGGTGGGGCGCTGCTGGGCAGGGCATGGGCACAGCTGGGCGTGGGGTGGCTCCTGAGCAGCCGCTGTCCTGCCCCCGCCCGGCCCACAGTGTTCCCCGAGAAGCCCATCACCCTGACAGATGAACGCAAGGCCCAGCAGCTGCAGCGCATACTGGACATGAAGGGCAACCCTGTGCAGGGCCTGGCCTCACGCTGGGACTATGAGAAGAAGCAATGGAAGAAGTGACTGCCCGCAGCTGGCTTGCAACCTCTGGGGGGGGGGGCTTCGTCCGCAGCCCTAACTGTCCCCGCTCCAAAAAATAACAACCAATAAAGCCCACCTGTTCTAGTCTGCTTTTAATCCTCTGCTTCAGTCTTCATCAGGCACCTACAGCAGCCGAAGGACAAGAACAAGCCGCCTTCCAGGGTTTGGAGCTTTGCTAATCCAGGGGGGCTTCCTGGAGGAGTCTGCCTGTGTGCAGCTGAGCCTAAGGTGGGGTTAGGGAAGGCAGGGAGGAGAAGGGAGGTCATTTCAGGTGGAGGATGTGACCTGGGCCAGGGCAAAGACACTCCTTCACTCAGCCAGCGCTGGAAGCACCTACCAAGGCAGGCGGGGCGTGTGTGTGTGTGTGTGTGTGTGAGTGTGTGTGAGTGTGTGTGTTGGAAGGCAGGTCTGCCACTGGTGAGTGCCACGAAGAAACAAAACCAGACCTAGAGCACTAGGTAGACTGAAGGTGGCAGTGGGGACCTTGGAGGAGGTGGCACTCCAGGAACTGGCCCCGTGCCAAACAGGGTGCAAGCACCTGAGCGGCCCAGCCTGGCTCCGGCTTGTGACTGGCACGTGACGGGCAGGGCAGCTGGGGGGAGGGGCTGGGGCACAGAACAGGTCATATAGTGCCTCAGCGGGGGGGGGGGGTAGTTCTAATATTGACTGTTTTTTTTAATCTTATAAAAAGCTATTTTATTTTGAAAGATTTACTGAGACAGAGATAGCTTCCTTCCACTGGTTTACTCTCCAAATGGTTGCAATGGCCAGAGCTGAGCCGATTAGAAGCCAGGAGCCAGGAGCTTCTTCTAGGTTTCCCACATGGATGCAGGGTCTCAAGGACTTGGGAGCTGGAGCTGGAGGGGAAGTGGAGCAGTCAGAGCATGAACCAGCACCCACAGGGGCTGCCAGCACTGTTGGCTGAGGATTAGGCTACTGTGCCACCATACAAAATTTAAAATTGACTTGTGAAAACTTGGTAATGCGGACATACGAATTTAACAAGAATTCCCAAGACCGTTTATAATGAAATTATTCAAGCTAATTATTCATATGGGAACCTGTGAAATGAGGTGGCATAAATAATTGAAGGGGGAATAAATATGCCTGGAATTCGAACAGTAGTGAATGAATATTCACTAAAAATAAGACGTGCACTTATGTAGGTCATACATGTTTGTGGCTATTTTTACAAAAAGACTTATTTCGATTTGAAAGGCAGATTTACAGAGAGAAGAGAGAGATCTTCTACCCACTAATTGCCTTCCCAAATGGCCACAGCAGCTGGAGCTGGGCAGATCTGAAGCCAGGAACTTCTTCCAGGTCCCCCATGGGGGTGCAAGGCCCAAGGACACAGACCATCCTGTTTTCCCAGGCCACAAGTAGGGAGAAAGCTGGATCAGAAATGGAGCAGCCAGGACACAAACCAGCGGCCATATGGAATACTGGTACCTCATTATTTTTGCTGTGTGGCAGACGCTGTGATGGACATCATGTAATGAACTTGATCATGATGTAAGTTGCTGCTCTTTCTGCAAGATTTGCTAATTAAAAAAAAAAGCATAAGCAAAACGATTACTATCTTAAAGGGCGATAGGATTTAAGACTAAATAAGGGAAAGCTAACTGTTAACCCTCAGCTTGCATCAAGCACTCTCCACATTTTGAGCTCTTTTCCTAGCTCTAATATATATCCATTTATGTAAAATAAAGGGGGGGAGGAGAGAAGAAAAGGGGAGAAGATATTTGCATATGTGTATTTGCCTGTGTGTGAGAAACGTTTCTGGAAGCATATGGAGAACCCCGGGTGGGAACTCGGGTAGGAACGGGAGCCAGAAACATCAGAGCATGGGTTGGGCAGGAGGCTGGAGGCTCGGACCTTCCAAGTGCCCGGAAGAGCTGCGCAAGCTCTGAGCCCGCACCCAAGGGCTGGCAGTGTAGAGACGTCATTCCGGGAGTAGGTGGGGCTGCCGACAGAGCAGGCAGAGGTCGCGGCGCTGAGCCAGAGCCGCCTGGCTAAGGAGTCGCACACGTGGCCGCCAGGGGGCAGTCAAGGCCGCCAGTGGACGCGGGCGGGGCGGCTGGCATGGGGCGGTGCCCGTCTGCCGGCCCGGCCCCCAGGGGAGCCCACGCCCCGGCCTGGGTGACCGCTGGGCTGGTCCACACCGGCTTCGGGCCGCAGCCACGTGCACCTCCACCCGATGCGGGGTTCATCCTGCCCGCACGCTGGCATCCAGCCTTCTCCCATCCCACCAAGGCTCTCTCCCGCTGGACAAACCTGAGTTGTGAGCTGGGCACGCATATGCCCCATTTTGTACAGGGTAAAGCTGAGGCCAGGTGACCCAGCCTATGTCACAACCTCAGGAGTGGGGAGTTTGGTTACCTCCCTGGCCTGCGTGCCCAGAAACTGCAGCGGGAACTAAACCACGGCCTCCTTCATGGCCTGGGGGGTTCTGACTTGCAAGCTCCCAGGACAGCCAGACTTGCAGGGGCAGCTCACCGCGCTCTCTGGCCCTCAGGATCAGTTCGGTCCTCTCACCTCGCCCCGTCTGGCACCCCTTGACCCAGGGGCCCCTTCACCTTCAGCTCTGGACGCGCCTGTTTCCTTTGCCATAAGCCAGGCCCCACTCACCCTATGCACCTGCCTCTCCAGAACCCCTCTCCTCTTCTGTGCTCATGTCACTTCCTACAGGGAGTCTTCCCTGAATGCAGATCAGCTCAAGTTCCCCATTAATGCTGCTGACACACTGTGCACCCCTTGAGTCGCCCTCGCCTCAGACACGGGCTTCACCTCTGTAACGGCCCCTCCACTGCAAGAGAACCAGAGAATTGGAGACATGTTTCTCTGCCTTTCCTAAAAATTGACATCACAAATGTTTCCTGCAGTCCGACCCCTTTCATTTCCTACACTAACAAGTCCTTTGTGTCTCGCCAGATAGTGCAGTGGTGTCCTCTGCTTGCCCTGTCTGCACGCTGCCCTGCAGGAGCCAGAGCCCAGCCTGGCAGAGCACGCTCGCAAAGCAGTTGCCGCCTGGCTCTGTGACTGGCTCCTGAGGGCGGGGACGGGGTGGATCCTGCCCCAGCGCAAGCCCAGTGCCCAGCAGGTACTCTGGGGGGGGACCACCCAGGGTTGAGGTGCAGAAACCCTAAGCCCTTGTCCACGGCCCTCCCCCAACCCCTGGGCAGCCGAGCTGAGCCAGGACAGTGGCTGGTTCTCCAGCAGCCTCTGCCAGCCGAGGTACCCCTCCACTTCTCTCTCTCTCTCTCTCACACACAAACAAGCCGAGGCCCTTTGTTCACTGAATCAACACAGTTTATTACTGAACTGCACTTTCACCTTCACACAGACTATTTCAAAGAGCTGGAACAAGTTGGAGAGGGGGTGGGCTGGGGGAGGGACAGGTGCCCCTCAGGAGCCTGGACCCCTGGGCTGGCGTCTGCAGCCCAGGGAGGGTGGGGTGGGGTGGGGGAGCATCAGGCCGGCCAATCTCCGGGCAGCAGCTCTCCACGTGCACGCGCACAGCAAGCCAGCAGCTCCGCACACATAAATACAGACACGCTTAACAAAAATAGTCTATCATTTTCACAAGGAATAAAAACTAGTCTCGGATATGTACAGCAGAGAGCCCAGGTGGCCAGGGCGGAGCAGAGGAGAGAGGAAGGCCCAAAGGGCTCCTGGCCAGGCCCCTGGGACCCTGGCAGCCAGCTGCCCAGGCTGGGTTGGGGTGGGCACAGGTTGGCCAGGCCAGGCAGTTCTAGGCCCTGCAGCCACCCTGCCTGAGCCCAGGCTCTCCTACGGCCCTGCCTGCCTGAGGTAGGGAAGACCCGAGCCTCCCCCAGCTGTTCCTGCCAGCTCCCCTTCCCCTCCAGGCAGAGGCCCCTGCAGCCCCAGAGCCCCGGGCAGCAGGCGGGGCAAGGAAGCTGCCAGGGGCTCATCTCCTTGCAGAAGTGAGGCAGCCGAGGCCAGACCCAGCTCTGGGGCATCCATCTCGGGCCTAGTTGGTCCCTCAGTCATGGTCATGGGAGCCAGGGGAGGGGACGGGACTGCAGTGATGCCAAACTGCGAGGGTTCCCTAAGCTTTGGCATGGGGTGCTTCCTGCAGCTAGAGCCCCCTCCCTCCCCTGGGAGCTGGTGAGAACATTCAGCCAGGGAGTGGGGCCTCCAGCCATGCCAAGGCGGGGAGGGAGTCCTGGTCCTCCTCATCTGCAGCAGCCTGAATCCCTAACTAGTGGCCTCTAGAGGGGTCTGGGGAGTGTGGAAGAGGGGAGGTCCAGGGCAAGATGGAGAATGATGAACTCAGAGGCCGTGAACATCAAAACAAAGGCAACCTAGTTCCTCTAGGGAAGCAGTTTAGCAATCTTTCAGGCTCCCTGGCAGGTTAGCACTTGCTGAGGCTGAGCGGAAGGGAAGGGTCGACCCTGTGGGCTACCAGCCACAACTCCCCCCACCTCTGCACCATGCACCTGTCGGCTTCCACTGGGCAGCTCTGGGGGAACTGTGAATTCTGAGGTGTGTGTGGGAGGAGGTGGCTCTCACAGAAGCGTGGTAGAGTAGAGAACTAACTGCAGGGGACCAGGTCCAGGCCCAGCCCTGGGATGGGGCGGGCACGGGCTGCATGTAGTGGTTCTCCGGGTGGCGATGAGGGCTGGACGGAGGGATGTGGCGGGAGCAGGGCAGGGGCAGGCCAGTGACTGGGTGGTCATTTCCGACTGAAGAGCGAGCCCAGCAGAACCACGCCTGCCAGGGTCATGCCCGTCAGGAACCAGCGGTTGAAGCGCTCCTGGCCCTTGCGGCTCTCGGCTGCTGCGTTGTTGCCATACAGCTCCACAAACGTGTCCTGTGAGGAGAGAGGAGAACACCTGTCAGGCTGCAGGCTGCAAATGGAGGACGCCTACACGGCGCCCCGGGTGCCACCTGTACCCCTTGGCTAGACAAAGGGTAAGGGGCTGTCCTCTGTTTTGAGCCCCACTTGCAAATGACCAACCCATGCCCCAACCCACGTCACTGCTGGGAAAAGAGGTGCAGAGAGGAGAGTTTCCTTCGAGGTCCTGCAGCCAGGGAGCAGCCTGGCTCCAGAATGGAGAAGAAG